GATGCCCGCCGGGCTCCCAGGGCCAGCACAAGGCTGCAATTCAGTCCGCGGGGCTCTGCCGAGGTCACGGCGCCGGCCAGCAGACCTCAGTACGAGCCCCGGGGGGGAACCGGAGCCGTCTCACCCCTGGGCTGCCCCTTCCCAAGCTCCAGTAGGAAGCTTTGTTCCAGCCCTTTCTCAATGGCCAACCTCGCCTTCCCCTTTGATGTCATTAGACATGGAGTTGCACAACCAGTTGATGGAAAAGCTGGCGTCCCACAAGAATAGCCCCAAACAGCCAGAGCGTTGCGTAATGACAACATTTGGCTGTTTCCTTTTTTTTTTTTTAATTTTATTTATTTTTTATTAAAGCCCGAGAACGCTGTAGCCTCAGCTGAAGGCACAGGTACCTTCCCAGGCTGAGAGGAAACCTTCCCCGCGATTCCCCACAGCTGGGCCAAGACTCTGCCACTGCAAACATCTCTCCGTGGTTGGGAAGTCGCGGCCGCAGGGAAGAGCTCTGCTGCCACGCCGCTGCCCCTCGAGGGCTCTGCTTTCGGGGCAGACCCACAGGGGAGGAGCCCATGGAGGAGCCCAATTTATTGCTCTGCCTGAGCTGCCCGCAGGGAGAGGGCTCAGAGAACGACAGAGCCGCTTCTTAACGAGTTTCAATCCAGTTGAAGGATCTTTAAAGTTTGTTCAACAGTGACAGAGTCCCTTTGAACTTAGTATCCACAGAGGGTGCCATTAAAAACAAAAGCACGTTTACCAGAACACGGTATCTGAGATGGAAAACACTGCAAATACTGCAGGAAGTTAAAAAAAAAAAAATCCACCCAGAATGACTTAAATCCCACCCATTTTTGGCCAGGAGCATTTTGCAGGGCTGAGCAGGGCTGGTTTCCCTCTCAGCTGGGAAGGTTTCTCATTTAGAAAGGGGAACCCAACGGGTAAGGAAGCGCCTGCCCGCCGGTTCCTGCATGCCCCTGCCCAACTGTTTAGCAATCCCTGCGGGATGCTACTCCGTGAACACCCCTAACAACTGACTGCCTGGGAGTCTAAATACTTAAAAACAAGCTAAGAAGAGCGATAATTGAAAGGGGGTTTAGTACAAGGACCAAAGGACTACTGCGGCACAGCCACCGCTTGCAGAAATACGCAGCCACGGCTCCACGGTTGGACTTGATGATCTTAAAGGTCTTTTCCAACTTTAAAAGGATTCTATGATTCTGCTGACACGACCGCTCCGGCTGTATTTGCAGAATACTGTCACATGAAATAGATTCACGTGGTACCTCGTTTAACTGTAGCTACTGTTTAGGAAAGCAAAGCCGCGGTCACTGTGGTTGTGTGTGTCCTTTGCAGGAAGGGTTTATCTCCCTTGGTGGGTTGCAACAGGCGTGACTGATCACAGGCTCAAAAGAGCACAGGCAAACAGAGAAACAACAGAAAAATCCCACGTCTGGTGCCGGGAATGATGAGAAATTTTCTGTGAAGTCTTTGCTGCTCCCCTCACCCTCCATGACACATCTCATTCCACATTCGAGGGGAACAAGCAGCAAGGAGGTCTTTCATGGGGAGGGATTCTCTCTTTTCCCATACAAAAATCCAGCCGAACATGGCAAGCCCCTCCTGGTTGCTGATCTGAGTTACAAGCTGTCGTGCTGGACAGCAGATGCTGCTAACAGCAGCTTCACCCATTGGAGTGAAAATTACTGTACTGTGTTTTCTTTATACAATGGAATTCAGTTTTACCCCCTTACGCATTATCTCCCTAACAGCCAGGAAAAAATAACTGAACCTGTTACAGCCATGTCACCAAGCTCTGGTAGAGGGGAACTATCGGAGTCAATGAATCAGGGATAAAAGAAATCAGGTTTTTGAAAGGTAAACTTTGAGATGTGAGCTGTGGCTGACCAAATTCAACATTTTTGTCATTCTGTGCTGGTGCCTGGTTCAGTTTCTTCCTATACCTCTATTGCCATGGAGACGCTGGCGAGATCACCACGAGACATATGGTATCAATGCCAGAGCCAGCAGGTTAGTACAAGAGAAAGATCTTTAGCAGCAAGTGAAGAATCATGAAAATTCATCAAGAGCAAGCGAGCGAGTTAAGGATTTAATTAAGATCAGTTAATTGATAAAAAAATATTTCTCAGTGTGACATCTCCCCTTTAAAACCAGTGTGAAAGGTTCACCAGGAGGATATTGTGTAGTGATGGGTCTTCCATCACTGATGGAAGTCATTTAAAGATGTGTCCAAACCAAGCAACTCCCACGCCTTTGGGAGATTTGGACCCATTTCTGAGCTCTCTGTGGCTCGGACTCGAGTGCTAATTTACATTGGATTGAGGCGGCCGAGAGTTAAAATCCCTTTCCTTTGCATCACAGGTCATTCCACCGGTACGTATTAGCACTGGGAGCCCCTACGTTGAACCCAGGCCCTGCAGGAAACCGGCCCTGAGACGTTACATTTTGTCTGTAATGACAGACAAAAAACTGCAGACCAAGTGGAAGGTGACAGACTGAGGTTCTCTCGCGATGAAGCAGGGCCAGCATAAGCAGCGATTTCCCATCGCTACCCTGCCAAAACATCTCAGCCTTCAGCTGGAAGAGGATTCCAAAAATTGAATTCAGGTTTTATGGTTCGCGACCTTATTTATGCAAAAGCCTCTCCGCAGGCACTGGATCTGAGATGCTCCAGTTCATTGCACATAGGTCCCTGAACAGCCAGGCACTGGCCATAACTTTGGGTTCTTCTGCACTGTAGATGTACCCAAACCAGCTGCAACTCTCCACAGGTTACCTTAGCTCCGGGAGAGCGCAGCGCTAACACGTGTAAAGTGGCACCTGAGCTGGCTTGGGTATCTCTACACTGCGCTGCCACGGAATAAGCAACCTGACAGCAAAGGTTTTCAGCGTGATGATTGTCTCACCTATTCCTCCTGCACTGCCTCAAAGCAAAGACGTGTGGTTGGCGAAGCAATAGCCAAGAGCTGCGTGTAGACACTCGTTGACATAGCCACAGTCGTCGTCACACACACTTGAACAGAAGCTGCCACCTGCTATAACACACGCTTTTTTTTGCTAAAGAACTTCTTAAAAGGACAAAGCATGAGCTAGTACCATTGGTGTCCTTAATGCCTCTTCATCCAAAATAACTCTATGCTAACAGGAGAATCCAGCCGGCTTCCAAACAAGCTTAGTTTACAAAAATATTGAGGAGAAAAAGTAGTTCAACAGCCTATTTGCACAAAGCACAAGCACAAAGAAGATCCGTGACAGAGGCCGAAGCAGCTCACTTGTGGGGAAAAAGATGCTTTTGATTTCCAACTGACTATCACATTGAGTGCGGAGGCATTATGAGCAAATTGTTCAAGAACTGCAGTTTTGCTGAAAAGGTGATGCTTTTGACCAAATAAAGCAACATGTTCCTAAGAGGAGTTTTGATTACTTGGGAACTAGAGGAATTTTGGGTGGGCTCAGGGGACGGGACTGCACCACCCACACAGCAGAACAAGATTTCACATGTGGATCGTGGTTCATGCTCAAAGACCACTCCCTGAACGGGAGGACGTTGGTGGGGGCATCTCGCCAAGCCAAACCTGGTGCTGCGGTTTTGCACGAAGGAGGAACGGCCCCCAGTCCCTCCTTAGAGCAAAACAGACCATCTACAGCAGACTGAGATTGAAGCCAGGCTCCAGCCATCCGGGGACATCTGCCCCTTTCTACACCCCCAGATCCAGTTGGTCCCATCTCCACTGCACGTTCTAGAAGAGACACAGCATAACGAAGGGCACGGTGACAGGCAATGCGCAGACCGACCCCAGGGAACGAGCCAAGGGAATCCCACCCTTATTTTCTCTTTGCAAATGGTTTAGGAGCGAACATGAATCGCACCAAGGGCAATCAACAGGGCCATTTAGAGAGCATGATGTTGCTCATCCCATGCTGGATGATAGCCTATCTACAGAAAAACATGGAGTGAGCAAGCCAAGGACTTGGCCTTCTGCTGATTGCAATTCCCTGGGTTTATCAGGAGGAACTCCCCCCCCAAGGCCTGCACCTGCCCCAGTGCTAATTCACAGGGCCACGGGATGGGCATTCTGGTGAAGAGCATCCCGGAGGACTGGCTCAATAGCAGGGAGATGGCTTGGATCTGAGAGTTAAAAGCCAGGCAGTGGCAAGGGACCCTGAGTGCTCTTGTCAGGAACACAATTAAAGTCAGACGAGGCCTCCCCACATCATTTCTCTGACACTAATTCTGCTCTGCCTTGTCTCACCTAAGCCACTGCCCGTGGACAGAGTCCAAAGCGTCCAGCAGCATGTATTTTGGTATGAGTTTGTGTGTGTGTGAGCGTGTGAGCCAACATCAGCCAACGTTCGTTTCCCAACCACCCGCCCTTGACCAGGTAAGGCCAGGGGGGCCAGGCTCAGGACCACCCTGCGGCTCTGCGACAGTCCCAGCCCCAGACACAGGCACGTTTGTACAGCTGGCAACACTCAAACCGGGTTTGTGAGCAGATCTGCCGCCGTCTCGGGGATCCCAGACCCAAACCAAGTAAGTCTACACAGAACTGAAGTACAGCCCTCAGTATCACACACACACAGAGGCGGATCGGACTTGCTGCTGCCAGACAGGCAGGACCCCTTTGAAGCTGCCGGCAGGAATTCCTCCTCCTGGCCCACGTTCGTACCAAGAACTTCTCATCGCAGGGCTGCTCATCTGCCAGGCTAAAGGGTGGCGACGGAGGGGCTGGAGGAGGCAAGGCAGAGCCGGGGGCATGGTGTCAGACACGAAGCAGCTCTGACGGGGTGCTCCAGTGCCTAGGTTTCGTTTACGAGGGATCAGAAGCGTTTTCTCCTTGTGTCGTCTTAAAATAATATTGTGCGTTTCCTCGAGCTGAATGTCTCTGCTTTTCCTGCTTATGATTCTTGCGGAACCACTTCCATCAGTTTCTGGCACAGGACTGTTGCAGAGACTACGGGGAAGAAAGCAAAGTACAGGTTACAGATCACACGCAGGGGCCCAACATATATCTTGGTCTCGGTTCATGATATTCTGCCTCAAAAGGGCTGACCCATTTGCCTCCCCACCGTGGTTCTGAGCAAGGTTAGTCCAAATACGATTTAAGACTTGAAAGCAAATGAGCCGCGGGCTGCTCTCTGCTCATGCCCAGAACTTAAACGTGTAACACTGGGAGCTTTGCTCCGGCAGCGAGGATGCTGTACTGCCCCGAGAGAGGCTCCGGTACTTCTTGACACCAGTTTTTAATTACATGGTGATACGGTAACTACGTTTGGATGCCAGAAGTGCAAGCAGCCAAAACCGAGTCAGGCACAATAGCATAGAAAATATGAGCTGACGCTTTTACTTCCAATTTTGAAAACCCCGGCTGTACGTGCACACAGCTTCTTTAAAGGCTCGAGTACCCAGGACAAAACCAACTCAGCATACTGAAGACAAGGCAGAGCCCACTGCCTTGCACAGAGCAGGTGAAGAGCAAAGGAAGCACTTCAGATGCAAGCTGGCACAGGAAAGGTGCTAAACCGAAGGAACTCTATTTTTCCACCCATTAGTTTTGGTGGCTGGTATGCGAACACACCTGTGCTTTCTGCCGCTTCACTGTGTGTTTGGAGATCACAAGATAGCTTGCCAGGTAAAGCTAACACTAATTCTAACTACTAAACACTAAGTCAAACTCAGATCAGTTGGAGGTGATCAAATTATCTGCAATACATGAATATCCACACGTGTTTAAAGTTCATATGTTTCTAACTGGACATTTGCAGGATGATAATTCTGTGTTCCCAGAATATTTTCTATATTCTCCTTACAAGCGTTTGGTGGTGGAAAACAATTAATATGGTAATTTGCCACCCAGGCACTGCAAAAATGGGTTTTCCAGGAACTGAGCCTAATACTCAGAATAAAAAAGTGAGAGAGAGAGAGAGAGATGGGGAGGGGGGGAGAATAACAAGTGCTGAGCGCTGTTAAAAGCCTTTTTCTTCTTCATAAAAAGCATCCAGCTAAGGCTGGGCATTTCTACTTGTCTGCTTTTCTAGGTCAGCCTGTTGTATGAGAGCTGGGAGGCAGATGGTAGAGTTCAGTTACTTGGACAACGCGGATTGACTTTCTTGATTCAGTTGTTCAGACAGAGGTTACGTGTGCCCAGCACAGCCTCTCCATCCCTTCAGAACACACCGTGGTGTAGTGTCAGCTGTTGGAAAACCTTAGACAAAGATACTTTAAAAATAAACCTCGTAAGAGAAAACATCCAGGGGATTTTCCCCTCCCTCTGCTCTGCTGCCACATTTTGATGCCAAGGAGAGCTTTGACTGGATCAGAAATGTTAGCACTGGCTAAGCAATGGATTGGGACTAATTACGAATTTTCAGCAGTCAAATTGAGGCCAACTGTGCTCAGACTGTTACACCGTTACTTCTTTTCCCTTCCTACACCACTAGAAAGGGATTCTCTGCTGACGAAAGGCTTGACCCTGTGCTTTTACAGGAAGCAGAAGAAAGGCAGCAACGTGCTCAGCGAATTACGCTCCACTGCGTAACAACCACCTGTTTGCTGAGATAAAAAAACCCCATGGTATTTGGCCCAAACTTTGCGATTATCGCAAGTCAGGGTGCGTTTTGGGTGCTTGATAGATAAGGTAATAATCAGGTAAATATTTGTTACCGTTAAAGAGGCATTGATCAGAGCCAAGACACTGGAAGCCTCCACTGCACGAAGGAGAGCCAGTGCTACTAGCTGTAGCACGCTCACCGGGAAGCTGCTGGTTTTGGAGCAAAAGCCAAGGCTGCACCCTTGCTCTTCACTGGTAATACTTACAGATGCCTTGGAGAACCCACTTGGGCTTGTTTTGCCACCAGACCCCGAAGAAGTAAACAGGGATCCCACTGAAGATGATTGCAAAGCCAATCGCACATTCCTTCGGTGTCATCCAGAAGGAAACAGCAATGAGAAACAAGCAGGCCAGGATGAAGAAAATGGGCAGGCAGATGTTCACCTAAACAAGGACCCAAAGAACAGGTTAGAAGTTGTATCGGGGGAAGAGGGTACACTTTCCAGTGAAGTTTATCTAGCTGTACAACCCGGAGAGGGAAGGAGTTCATGTTCCACCATGGACCCCTACGTGGACGGTCCTCCTGTCTGTCCCAGTGCTTTGAACAAGGGGACCATGACCTTGAACTGCCATGGGGAAGGTATCGATTTAGGCAGTGCTCTTCATCAATCCTGGAGAAAACAGACGTAGGCTAACACCTAACACGTACATTTAAAACCAGCAAAACAAAGCACAGCGATGTGGCTTGCCGACAGCCGTGAGCCTTTCCCAGCACCCTTTTTTTGACCCCAATTCCATACTTGTATGATTCCTCATAAAAAGCACCTGTACCAACAGCATCAAATTCAGCAGCAACCACAGCACAAGCCATAGCATCTTCACGGCAGTTTCTCAGGGGACTCAGCTACACTGCTCTGAGCAGGGCACCCGCTGAGAGCAGCCCAGCTTTTAGAAGAAAAACCAAAAACCCAAAGGAAACACCCTGCAAAGAGTTACATCGGGAAGGCACTGGTACAGGTCTGTGAGTTTGTTTCTCTCTGGCTGCCTGTTGCCTGGCAGAGACCTGAGTGTGCTGGGGGATGAGTGAGAAACATGCCTTTAAGGAAGGCAGACACGCTTGCGGCTGACATGATCTTGGCCTCCTCCCAGATGGGACACGGTACTGCCAAGCTGGCCAAGGACAAAGAGAACAAAGTTCTCATCTCTGCAGGCGTGGGTTTGTCTGCTTTATTAAAAAACTATTTTAAGTGAATTCCATGATGGTACAGAGTGTTTCACTGAGAGCCGCAGCCTAGGATTTGTCCTGGGGAATATATTAGTCACTGAGAGCTTCCCACTGGGCTACCACACCAGAACACCCCGCATCTCTGACACACAGAGCCTCCTTCACTCTGATGTCCCCACGGCCACGGCAGCTCTTCGTCCTCCTGCACCGATTCGCATTCGGCAGATTTCCGTGCAGCAAGGACACCTGCGTTAGCTACAACACAACGTTTCCCCTGCACGCTTGAAATCCCAGTCCCTCTTGCGTACAGGGCAAGCAGCCGTACTTGCTGAACCTTCCCTGGCGCTGAGAAGGGACTCAGGGAGGACCCACCACACAATTACCACACTGTTCTCACCCTGATGGGCCTTTCCAGCTCTGGCTTCTTGTAACGCAGCCACATCATGCCGATGATGGCCAGAGCCACGCACAGCCAGTTGAAGAAGCTGAAGAAGTTGATGACTGAGAAAATGTTGTTGGAGAAGGCATAGAGCAGGGTCATGACACACTGCATCCAGAAAAAAAAAGCCATTAGCAAACGGAGAAATAGGCAAAACCACATATGTTACAACACTAAATACAGGTGTTTTAGAAGAACTACCTGCCAGGAAAGAATCAGGTTGATTATTTTTTACTTATTTAAGCTATTTTCAATTGGTGCCTGGAGCAATTTCAAAACAGAAGTGGAATATGAGGATATGATGAGAAGGGTCTATCTTCTCCTGTAGGTGCATGTGGAAATGGCTGTGTCTGGAGATGGTGCCCAAGCAGCCCTGCTCCAACCACTCTGATGGGATCCTACCCCCGACCCGTCTCTCAATACCAGGTCGATGCTCATCACCATAGACCCAGGTGCTTACTGTAAAGATGAGGGATGGCACGGGAGTGAGAAGCCTGGGGTGAATCATAGACAGGATTGAAGGCAAGTGTCCTTCTCGGGATCCCACGAAGAACAGCCTGAGGTGGGGGAGACAGAACCGTTATCACCTCTGCAACCTTCAGCCCCGGGCTGGGGTTTGTCTTCAGCACAAAACAAATGGGGACAGCGCAAGCTCAGCCTAGACAGTGCTGAGGCAGCAAGACTGAAACGCCCAGGCTCCGCGCAGGCTTTCCACCCTAGTGGTGCCTTGCACAATGCCAGCTGTGCCCTTTTGCTAGTCACCGGTTCAGGAGTGGGGCCCTCCAGGATCAGGCCCCAGCACGGGGTGTTCTGCACATACACAGTGGAAAGTCCCTGTCTTAGAAGGAAGGTGGGAGACGGACAAAGAATGCAAGAAAAGATGTATTTATAGCCTCCTTTCCAGAGACAGCAATTAAGTGACTTTCCTAAGACAACCCAGGAGATGTGTGTCAGAGCTGGAACCATCTCAGTCCCCCTCCTTTCTCCCTTTCTGGAGTGATTCTCAGCCCTGAAGTTTCATAAGTTTCTGCTTTTCATTAAAGACACTTTCTCAGGCAACATCACTGAGCCCCAAGCCTGTGTTTGTTTATGTTCTAAGAACTTCAACAGGACTTTGCCTGAGGAACAGAAGATTGAGACCACTGAAAGGGTTTCCTTTAAACTGGATATAGTTTTAAAGTCTTACTTTTTTTTTTTTCTGCATTCCCCACATGGCCTCCAGACCCTTTAGACTTTGTGTCTACCCACAACCACTCTTTGGAGGACAAGTCCAAACGAAGAGGCATTAAGCATGACTTGTAAACAAAAAACACAAAATTGAGCAAGAAACCTACCGGGAAGAAGTGAAGAGAGATCCATTAACGGATCCAAAGCACGACAAGCCAACAAAGACGGGTATGATCCAGGACATGACGCCAAGGTGATAGTTCCCAAAATCCTAAATGGGGGGCAACAAGACAGACATTTCACACCCAGAATGTCCAAAAGAACTCACAGCTGCCGACAAAGACAATATTCATAGAAATCTGAACAAATGACATGGCTTAGTGCTGAAGCTGTTACGGAGTTTTCCATATTGCCACGTGCTGCTCCTCCTTCCTGAAAAAGCCTATTGTGGAACTGCAAAAAAATCAGCAGAACGCCCTTCCCTCGGAGTCAGGACACAGCATTTATCAGAATGGCTATCCAAAAGTTCAAACGGAAACTGCAAGGAGATTCAGACACGCAACTATTGCCAATTGCTGAGGAAGGACCCTGGGACACAGCCCCTTAGAAACGCAGTGACCCGGAGTTGTAGTTTTATATCACAAACTGACCCTGCACTGCTTCACTGCAGTTTTATGCCAACACTATTATATTGATTTCAAGCCTTGCAAAGGCACACAACTAGAGCAGTGCAACACAGGCTGGCATCTCCAATAACTCAGCGCTGTGCACGTGCAGGCTGGAGCGGGGCCGGGTACTGACCCAAATGACGGAGCGCTGTCACCCGAATGGCCCAGACTGGCTTATCCTGGACTGAGAGATTCCCCCTGAAGCACCGAACAATCCTGGTCACACTCAGTTTGCACGGTCATACCACGCTGCTCACTTCTGAAGCAACCAGGATTTCTGACCACAATGGCATCTGAATTAATAGAAGTATTATTTTTCTCTCTTAATTAAAACAAGGAAGATACAGAGAGAACGATCTAGTTCAGTATTGACTGAATGACCTTTTCCCATAAATATCATGCTCTGGTAACTGATGATAAGTCATGAGGCCAGCAGCAACCTTGCGTATTTACACATTAAGAGCAGCGTTAACTTTCTGCCCACTCTTACTATTGTCTGTGATTAATCCCACTTGGTATCACACTGTCCTTCCCTGCTCCCGTCACAGTTGCTCTTTATCTCCTGTCAAACATCAGCTTTTTTGTAAGCAGCCATGATCAGCATGGAACAAACTAGGAGATGCATGCAGAGATTGTAAGTCTCATTTAACCAGCCCTGGAAAACAGATGAGTCACATCAGAAATGCACCAGTCTTACCACAGCCACGGCTTCGGATGTCAGCATCTGGTCCGTCGACAGGGTCGTGAAGTAAGCCAAGTTTGTCAGCACGTAAACCAAAGTGACTACAGGTAGTGAGATGATGATAGCCAGCGGCAGGTTTCTAGGAAGAAAATATAAATTGCAATGGAGCGCTGCAGTTCAAAGAGAGCTGTTGATGCCAGGGATCGGTGGCTCATGCTGCGGCCCTCCTGCGCTCACTTCAAGTTGGCTTGTGCCATTCTGCTCTTCTTTGGCTCTTCAGCACGGCCAGTTTCCCAGCCACAGGCTGCTCCCCTAGGAGAGGAGAAGATGCCCACACGGGAACAGCCTGGAGGCTGACAGATGTAGAGTGAAGGATTATGGCAGAAGGGACTTTTTGCATGGAGAGACTCTGGCTGTCCAGGCAAGCAGTAATCCAGGATCACTGCAAAGGCAACTAATTAAAAATAACCCCCCCGCCTTTCTTGCTAGCCAGTGGCATTAGCACATGCATTCTGTTCTGGGCAAAGGAGAAGCATTTGGGCTGGTGGGTTCCTTGTGGGAGATGAAAGATCAGGGATTTAGTGGGCAGTTTTTAGGCTCCAACTCTGTGCAGCTGGACTGATGAAACTCAAAGAAAATGAGTTCAGACACTGTCTGAGTGGGTCTGTAAAGACGAGGCTGTGTTGGTAGAAATTTGCCTCTCCAAATAGTCTAACTTCATTTGCGAACCGAAACTGAAAAAGGAAACCCTGCTTGATGCCATGTATAATTGGTCTAGTGGAGCTCAAAGCCACAGGAGGAGAGAGTCAAATACCATGACTGCATTCAGAAGACAAGAATTAATTGCAATCTGCAACAACTTTTTTATAACTGTGTTTGTCAAGGAAAGGGCGTATCAAATCTTATGCTTCCCAGCAGGCACTAATAATCACTGCCAGGGTCAGCCAGGAATGGGTTCTTGCACAAGTGACCCTGAAGCTCGTATCGACGGTGCCTCGCAGGCACCTTCCCTGTGAGCAAAAATGATTTATCAGCGATGTCCTGCTTTGGTGCGGCCCACCCCCATCTCACCAGGTCCCCTGCACAACCCTGAAAAGCACGAGCAGCGCAGAAAGCGGCTGTTGCTCAAGAGAACAGGAAGAGCATGTGACAAACATATGTACGCACAAATACTCTTGTGGGAGTTTATACAAGACAGTAATAAAGCCGTGAGTGCTCCTTCCTCGCCTATAATTCAGAGAGGTGCCATGCCAAGGAAGCAGGACTTTCCAACAACACTGATACTATTGGCAGTACAGGAAAGCAGCGTAAGCAGCAGCCCTTCTCATACAGAGATTATTATTCCCCTTCCCCTATTCCAGGGAGGAACAATGCCATTAATTTACCTCATTTTCTATTTCCCTAGAAAAAGACCTTGGCTTCTGGGCTGATTAGCAACCCCTGTCACACACATAAGGAAAGGGCTTCCCAAGAACAAGTTTTCCTCCCAGGGAAGTCACCACAGGGGACGCACCTACCTGTAGGGATTTATCATCTCTTCTGTAACAAAATTCAAGTAATTCCTGTAATTTAAAAAGAACAGTGGTTAATTCTGGTTAGTCCATGGAATAAAAGAAGCCCTTCATCTTACCCATCTGCAAGGGAATTTCAGGAGGGATAGAGAGACTGAAACCTGTGGTAAAACTTATGATGGCTGAAGCCTAGTCCAAGACCTACGGCACAAAACCTGCAAAGCGCGTGCCCTGGATGGTGCTGGCGGATCGAGCACACCATGCTGCCAGCTTCCTTGCAACAGGAGGGGTGATTGCAGGTGAAGAGCTGGACCCACAAGCCACAGGGCCACCCTCCAGGCAATAAGGATGGCTGCAGCTGGCCTGTTTTCACAGCAAATTGAGCAGGCTCCTCCTTGTGCTTGCAAGTGCTCAAAGGGACTGATAAAGAAGCTCTCCAGGAGCTTCAGTTTGGTGCTCTAAATAACCTGTTGGCATGTAACACGTCTCTCCTCTGCTAGTTAAACCCACCCTGCTGCTTTCTCTTAATATCACCTAGGAGCTGCACCAAGCAACCCATCATCTGCTGCCTCTTCTAAATCCCATGATCACCACCACCTCTTTGTGCTTCTATGTCCTGGCTGGAAATGGGGCGTGAAGTATGGCTATTAACGTTACTAGGCAAACCCAAAGCATCTGCCTCATTGCCCTGGTTACAAGAAAGATGGAAAGTCCTGGACCACGCTCTTCTAAACACAATCTGGGGACAAAGAAATGAACTACAGTATTTAGCACTGAAAAGAGATACAGGGCTGCATCTTACCATCCTCCGTAGGCAAAGAGACCGCTGTACAAAGCTAACACAATGTTCCCCACGCCTACTTTTGTGCCTTCGAAGGAGTGCTCAGGAGTCAGGTTTGTCACATCACCTGCAGAAAACAAAAAGAAGAAAGGATCGATGCAGATGGACCGTGAACCCCAAGGGCCTTTGTGGGTGCTGAAACAGAGAAACCTGGAGGCAAAAGCCGCTCTTAGGATACTAAATTATCATGCCGATGCATTTCGGGTTACGCTAGAGAGCTTGTGCACATACTTCTATTGGGCTGATTCCTCCAGTTTTACAGTGCCTAATTCACCCGGAGCAACGCACCAAATAATCAGCCCCAAATATACTCGTCTCAAGCAACTGGCCATTACTGAGTCCTCAAAACTTTCTCACACTGCAACATGCTATCGCCAAGGTAATCTCCCAGATATCTTCTCCCTGCGAAGAAAACATTCTGGGGACCTTCCTGCTGGAAGATGCCATGCAAACAGATATTGTCACATTGTCCTCTCAACTGAAAGCTGCTTTCATTCGATAAAACCCCAGGATTTCCTCCACTTCCACCAGCCACCCAATAAAGCAGAAACCCAGGATTTCCTCTAGTCCCACCAGCCACCTGATAAAGCAGAGGGTTATGGCAAACCCTTTGATTGTGGGAAGTCAGGTTCTTTGGGGCCTGAATATCACAAGTTAGCTTCTTTAGGACTTGAATATCAAAAGTTCCTGTTATGTATCTGCTTTTGAAAGAAAAAGCCATAAATAGACGGCTCGATTGTACCTTTGGTAAGAACTCGCCCAGAGCAGCCAAGGGTTTATTTATTTTGCTTTAAAACGCTCTGCAGTTGTTTTGTTCCCTGTCTTTTGATGTGGAGCCCGCGTGTAGGCCTGGGATGGCGAAGCCACGCTCCCCTCCCCGGACCCAGCGCTCCCCTTAGTGAGGACGGAAGCGGGGAGCGAGGCAGGATTCGGCAGGGCCCTTTTGCATCCAGGGAGCCCTGTCGAAGCACATGTGATTCCTCTTAGGACACAGATCTTTACTAATCACCCGAGCAACTGCATCACATGGCAGTCAGCAGGGCCTGGAGCTTAACCCTTCATCTCTTAGCACAAGGTACCCAGGATGTGCATCTGGGGAAAGGGGAGGGGTGCTAATACATCAGGCATTTTTCCTCTGGACGGCCTCTCTCCCCATCTCAGGCTGGAAACTTTCACTCCCCTATGCCACCAAAAGCCACTTTTGCAGAGGCTGGGTAACAAATATGGATGCACGGACCTTTTAGCGCCTCGCACTCATCTTTCTGGCGGTGGGAAAGGGGGACTTTTCCTGATGGCACTATCAGTCTGCTGGTGCCTTTTTCATTCATGGGGCTTCACAAGGGACTGCTCCAAATCTGTGCCAGTGACACGGAGCTGCCCTGTGCGCTTGGGAGACCTACATCTTGTCTTTCCCCTTCTCTGCTTGACCCTCCAGCTCCATCCCTATCCTTTCCATTCTGGGCATTGCTCCCTTCACCTCCTTTCTCCCTCCTGCTGAGTCCTAGCCAGGGCAGAAAGATATTCCCTAACACGGTGTCCAAAATGCTCTCTGCTCACAAAACTACCCAGAAAACCAGCCCCCCTCTGCCTTCTTCCCTGCGCGGTTGCTATCCCATTTGCAAGGGGTTGCTGTTGGTGTGAGCTGCAAAAGAGCCGGGACCACGGCAGCAGCACATGCACTGGGCAATCAAGTCTGGGAAACATGGGTTTTCCAAGGCTCTACTTGTCCAGATCCCACTGCAGATTGCAGTTCTCCACTGGTGTTGCCTTGTCCCTCTCTCCCAGCACCTCCTTGCCAGGAAGGTCTCTTCTGAATCTACCTCGGGATATGCTGGTTGTGTTTAATGCCCCTTTAGCCAGTGAATCTCCTTAGCAAAATGCACCAATCTTTTTTAAAAAGTGTACATCAGAGTGTAACAGGAAAGCCAGGAAATGCAGAGACTGATATAATGCTGCGAGTTTAACCTTAATTCCTGGCTTATAGGTTCAGTCATATAATCTTAATTTAGCATTAATGCCCCAGCTTGGCTGTGAACAATAAGGCTGAGCAGGAGGCTGATGCACGGCATCACATCCTGCTCGATCCCTCAGGCTCAGCTTTCCTGAATTTATTTTCTGCCCCTCCTGAATAATTACCAGTCTAATTCTTTCCAGGTCTTTTGTTATGGGAATAAGATACACTTTTTGTTAACAGTGACTGTAATTAGCTACTGGCACGGCACACGGATGGACTAGGAGAGCAGGAGAGCTCTCCAGGCGTTTCAAACACCCTTCGGGACGTCTCTTCTCAAAGGTCTGCTCATGCTCTGCCAGTAGCCCAGCTCCCACCCGGGCCAAGGGATCACCACCTTTACCACATCAGGAGGATGCTCTGATCCAGGAGGAGCCAGGGCACAAGCAGCATCACACCGCGGGCTCACACCTCCATTTCTTGTCCACAACTGGACACCAGCTTCCACCGAAAGCCTCTTTCTGTTTGTCACAGGCAAAAAGCTCTCAGGCCAAATGTTCCTTTTTCGGAGGCATCTGCAGGTTTCGCTCTGTGCCTTCCCAAACCTCACACAGAAACTGTGTGCTGGTGCCTCCAAGGAAGGGCTGAGCCGCCACCCTCGCCCAGCTGGCCAGGAGGGGAGGAGAGCATCAGTGGTCCCCAGCCCAAAGCCACATGCCTGGATTCAGGATGTGCCACCCGCTCAGGAACCGTGGGCATCTTCAGCCTCTGGGCAAGGAAGGGTCCAAGCCCAATTTGGTGGCCTGCTGGGCTGTACAGACACTTTGGCTGAGTGTCAGGACTGCCGGCCCTCCAGGACACACGAGCAAAGAGGAGGGGAAGGCAGCGCGGGACTGCTACGGGAGCAACACTGAAACAAAGAAATTAAAACAAAGCCTGGCATTTCATTACACGGTGGGTGGGCAGGGGTGGCGGACAGCGGGATGGATGGGTGAGACATAACTAATTACTCGCACACCTCTTCCTTGCACCCGCTGCGGCACACACCTAACCCATTGCTTTGAAGCACCAAAATGCAGCTACCGGCAAAGGAGTGGCAAGTCAGCGTGGAGGCAGCCAGGAGAGGAGACTAGGTAGGAAGGAAGGGGCTTTTTGTTCCTCCTCAACACTTGAGGAACAGACACCTTGCTGCCCTCTCCCTGCCTCACCGAGCAAGAGTTGTAGCTCTCCAGAAACTTGCAGCAAGTTGCTGAACTTCATGTCTCTATGCTCCCATGGTAAAATGGATTTAGCAACATGTCAGAACATGATTAAATAACCAGAGGAGCTGAGACCCATCTCTTCCCACTCCAAGGGGACAAGCTCGTATTCTCAGGTGTCCACATGATGCTCTTTTGCTACAGCTTTTGCTTCTTTCATGCTTTATTGTTTCCTGGTTGTTTGACAGGAGCCTGGGCTCCTTAACAAACACGCTCCAAAGATCGCATCCCAGCAGAGCAGCCATCCCTTCCCACTGTCACCACAAAGCTCTGTCCCACCCTGCTGGCCAGCGGATCACTGGAAAGATAATAACGTGTGCCCACCAGCGATGCCTTTACAGACATAACTGGCACCACAATATACATCTGGGGACATAAAAGCCAAGCTCCAGCAGTGATGCCAGAAAGGTGTCCCAGATACAGTGGATGACTGTACCCATCTTGCCCTGATCTCGTTAGCAGCCCCACGCACAATTAGACAGAGGTTCAAGCAGTCGTTAGACAGGTCCTTGGAAAAGAAATCATAGAATCATTAAGGTTGGAAAAGACCTCTAAGATGATCGAGTCCAACCGTCGACCCAACACCCCCATGCCCACTGAGGCATGTTCCTAAGCGCCTCATCTACACATCTTTTAAATACTTCCAGGGATGGGGACTCCCCCCCTTCCCTGGGCAGCCTGTGCCA